TACTTACTCATTTCAAATATCATTTCATCGAATGAACAAAATTTGTTTAAATCCGATGGGATCAATTAATATTCACTGGAAACTAATGAGGTTGGGATGAATTAACTAAATGTTTGTAATTTAACTGTTAGTTTCATATCATTTCCCAATGACTCTTTTCTTTTTAGGATTGCTAGTTTCGCTCGAGCTCCTTTGGGACTCTATAAAAGTAACTAGTAATATAGGGTAGATCGCGATGGAACAGCATTTACCATGGAATCGTAACGCGTCTTTGAAAGTTCGTAGAAAAAAGTGAAAAAAATCAAACCGGAAAGGAAATTGCAGAATTTGAAGAAAAGGTTCATTTGCGATCGTGAGCAGGAAGGGTTGCGCTTAGAAGTACCAAGTGAACGATACATAGGAAGAAAACTCAGTTAAGCCATCTTTAAATCCTTATGAATCGTACAACGGTGCTTTTTCGTGGGCATTAACTATTTTTCGAATCGGAGGATTTGTAATAACTAGAATTTCTGTGATTTAATTAGTTTAACTGTAACGGCTCAACTAAATTTTCTTATTAGTATATGGTTCATATTTTGGGACTAGATTCGTAAAAGGACCGGTATGTATGAAGCTTTAGAAAGATTTATGCAGAAGTAGAATCATAGTGGGAGCGTTTTAACTTCAAATGAGCGGTAGGGGTGTCCGAAGTGAAATATATCACGAAGTAATTGTAAGAAATGTTATAAATTTTATCTCTAGACTTGGAAAAACATATCGAGACAGTAGAAGCTTTCCGATAGCACAATAAACGTCTCACAATAATTTCACGTTCGTTAGACTAAGCATTTCGTTGTTCTAATATTCTCTTGTATCTTTTTTTTTTCGAAGAAAATTCATTTTTCTCGTGGTTATGGGTCGGTGAACCGCTCCTCGTATGTTCCGCTTTTGGATCACGTCGGATTACGTTTGGATTGTTTTTGGAGCTAGTTAGTTTAGATCGGCATAATGAAAAACGCAAGCAGGTGCTGCAGACATTGATCGAGCACAGAAGGTGCGGCCAGTGCCAAGTTTCCTTAGCCAGGATCAGACAGATGTAAAAGTCAAACATATCGAAACAGCCAAAAAGCAGCGTCTCTCGAGTAAGCTACAAAGTTGCAGCGATAACCGGCGGTATTTCCTTCCCGTGCGATAACGTCCTTATACTTGGCGCGAGTACACTGGGAGACATCAATGCCCTCCCATCCTGCACAGGCGATGTCGTATCTGTAGGGGAGGCATTCGTGTCCGTCATTGTACGTTCAATCAGCGAGATCGAAAAACAACACATTCTGAAATATTTTATGCACAGAATTCCGACGCACTGGGAAGATTAGACGAATAGAAAATACAATCCGTCGGACATTTGGTCAGCCTTTGAAAGTAGGATTCCATTTGGCCCACGCGATGTATCATATTGTCGTGTCATACTTGAATTTCATTTATTCGCACGTTACGTAAAGAATTTCAGCCAAACAGTTGTACCACTAATTGTGCATTATTTCCTAAGTTTAGTAGATTGTACCACGATACTTTACCTACATTTTTGTATTCATTGTATAGCCTTCTAAAAAGCTGCATTATTTGTTTTAACGTGTAATTATTTCTAAGAATATTTTATTTCTATCCTGGATACGTGCAACCGAAACGTGACATGGCATCACAAAACAGCGACAGCCACGTGGATACTTACATACGTTTTTAGAACTATTTCTTCTTATTCCAAAAATAGAAAATAAATACTTTGTCTTCGGTGATTACGAGTAAGTCAAATGAGAGACATAAAAGGAAGACAAACTTAACTTGCGACACAGGGAGCCCTGCATTTGAACATCATTAATGATGGCCAAGTGCAGTGGGTAAGTAACAAACGAACGGTTTACTTACCCCGTGTAAATCTGGGGTTGATGTGAAAAACGGGTAGCCGGAATAATTTCCGTCGAACGGTCCTTTTCTACACTTGTTATGTTCGCAGTACTCGTCCTTGTATTCTGATACCATCGTAATCTCCCAGCAGATATTGCTCTAATCTTGATGCATTCACTTTATGTACTCTATTTTCGGAAAATGTCTATAGTTTTTTGTAATTATAGTAATCTCCAATTAAATATATAAAGGAGTTAATATTAGAAAACGTCAGTCGCCTTCTCTTTTAAATTTAAACATAATTAAGTATTATAAACATACAAAATAGTCTATTTTTCCAGTTAAATTACATCGTAACACTTTACCGACCATTTTTGTTTGAACATACTACGCTCTTCCTCCCGGCCCATGATAGGCTACCGGTTGATGAGTGTTGATGGCAAAAACCCAATTAATAGGCCATAACTCAAAAATAGGCTCCCGGTAGGTAAAGTGTTAATAAGACAAATTTTAACAAATGACTAACAAGGAAGGTACCTGAGGTGTCCCCCTCCGATTTTGTTCATTTTTAAATATGTTATAGAGGACTAAAATCTAAGGGACTCGTGTTTTTTTTTATCGGCGTATAAACACTTTTAGGGGGTGAAATCAGGCTTCAAAGTTGGCCGTGCAAGGGGGTGAGTTGGCTGTTTCATATAGCAGCACTCGACCGATTTTCATGAAATAACCGTCAAAATGTAGGGAATGAAGAATTATGAAATATGCATTTGGAATTTTTCGAAAAAATTCATTTTTAAGGGGTGAGCTACCCCTTTGAATACTTCTTTACCCCTTACGCGAGCATTAATTGTTCTACCCAAATGAAACTTTTTTTGTATTGTTCTGGTCTATAAATTAACCAAGTTTCATATGGGTAGAGCAATTACTGCTCGCGTAAGGGGTAAAAGAAGTATTCAAAGGGGTGGCTTACCCGTTAAAAATGAATTTTTTCGAAAAATTCCAAATGCATGTTTCATAATTCTTCATTCCCTACATTTTGACGGTTGTTTCATGAAAATCGGTCGAGTGCCTCTATATGCAACAGCCAACTGGACCCCTTGCACGGCCAACTGTGAAGCCTGATTTCACCCCCTAAAAGTGTTTATCCGCCGATAAAAAAAAACAACACGAGTCCCTTAGATTTTAGTCCTCTATAACATATTTAAAAATGAACAAAATCGGAGGGAGACACTTCAGGTATCTTCCTTGTAAGATACGTAGCGATCTTTTCGAATGAACAATTATAACCACGATGGGGCTGACCGAGGCTGACCAAAGCATCAACTTTTCCACTACGTGGTCTCGTATGTCAGATCTAGAACTATCTACAACTCATATCTCCCAATACGTCGTGTTCTTGTGAAAAAAGGGTAGTTCGTTTTCCGATCAAAGTAAATGGGGAAGGAGTTGAAAAGTGGAAAAAAATAACCTATTAAATTCAGCTAAACCATCATGCTTCCACTAGCTGGACATATCGAATTCCCCTCGAACTCTATTTCATTCAAACTTTAGTCATTTAAATCTCACAAACAACTGAGAACACCTTTGGAGCAAAAATGTATGGATTTGTCTGAGATGTTACCGCATCTCCTGATTACAATCAAAACCACAATCATGTTCATTCAATGACTTCATATTTCAATTAACTAAGGAATGCTGCTACTTTAATCATTTACCTGGCAGTTCAGTGCAGCATCTCTTATTAGCTTGAGCGTCGTATTAACATTAAATGATGTGCATTTTGAGGATCATTAAATTTGTTGCGAATTAACAGACATTCTCTTGAAACGAATAAAGTTTCGTTGACTTTGTTAAGCCAATTGGTTGAACCATGACAACTTAACTGAATTATTTTCACCTTTGTACGAAGGAAAAGGAGACAAATCATGTATCGAGGGTTCAATGAACACGACACCAAGGTAATTTATTATCGCAATTGTTGGAGATAAAGAAAAAAAAAGAAAAGAAAAAAGACGGGAAAGAGGCGACAAATGAAAAGCGTTTGTACGGAAAATTGGTATTCGTTACTCAGAATTCTGTGACAACGATGGCTTAGATGATCGCTCGACGTTTCAGGGCTTTTTGGAGCCTTTCGAGTGATCATCCTAAATGAAAAATAGCGTATACGAACGGCCCAGTAATTCGTAGAGTAATCAGGGGGTACTTTGACCCTTTAATTATTATCAATGACGTACTTTAAAGCTACTGATGTATACCAATTCCGATCACACAAATGATATTCCGCATCGGTACATTCCACGCGTCTTACAATGTACCGACCCGAGGGGGTATTCACTCAGAAAATCATGGATTTTAATGCTTAAATCATATGGAAATCAGCTGGGGCAATCGCAAGCAGAAATCCCTGGGAAAACGTTGGAAATCACCGAATACTGTCACAATTTTCAGGCCGAACGTCCTTTGTTACCGAATCGCATTGTTGTTCGTCATTTGAGATCAAAGGCAATCGGCTCTCAAAGAGGTAAATCGTTTTCACTGATTTCCACGTGAATAGCCCCTCGTTCCGACCCAAATACTAAGCAATTAAAGGGTTAAACGTGCTTAAACACGCTCCGAGGTACACTTGCAAGTGCAACAAAGGATTCGAACCTTTCCGGCTGTTGCAAGCACAAAAAGCTGCGGAAAGAGCGATCGTTGTCCCGCTCTGGGCCGTCGTAGACAGAAGCGAGCGCGTCAGGCACACGAGTACAACACAATACAACAGTCACAGAGCACAAACGGTGCATAGTGAAAGACGGAAACAGAGACAAAGAGGCATATTCAGAGAAAGGCCTAGGCCAAACGCAAGAAATACCGAGAGACAACGTGGCAAAGAGAGAGAGAGAGAAAGAGAAAGACAGAAGGCGAAACGAAGACAAGAAAATCAGAGCCTGGAAGAGAGTTTCAGAAAGAGATTGAAAGAGAAAAAGAGAGAGAGTGTGAGAAACGGTGGAAGAGAAAGAGAAAGAGAGCAAGAGAGGAGCGCTTACAGCTTGGTCTGTCGAGCTCTTGCTGTAGGGTACCGGAATCAAACGTTCCTGCAACTCGCCACCTATCACCTTCAAGAGTAAACGGTAACACATCATCATTACAACAGGATGGCATGAGCAGTACTCGAAGGACACCACTCGTCCGAATGCGGCACCGTATCGACGTTACGTCGCCTCAAAGGCCCCTCATAGAGGTTTCTGTCGCCGAGGGTCTTATCAGGAGCGACTCGAGAGACCCCCGCGGACCGTATATCCACGCGAGTGGTGTGCCGGAGTCATAGTAAAAGTAGTAACAGTAGTAGTAGTAGTGAGAGTAGTAACAGTGATAGCAGTAGTAACAGTTCTAGTACAGTAGTGACAGTGATGAACAGTAGACCATACGGACAGGCGCGCGCGGCGGGAGGGCGGACGGTAGGTCGGGTATCTTTCATCGTTCGTTAATGTCGTTTTAGTGGTTTATTATTTTCACCGAAACGTTGTTTTTCTTCGTTTTTTTCCCCCCCTTTTTTTTTAACGATGTGTCAGACTTTTGATTTCCGACCTAGCGCATTGCAAGACCCGCTGGCGCATATAACGGTACACGTGGGATGCGCGCAAGGAGCGGTGCACTCGGGTCAGATAACGACAGGAAACGTACAACCGGGGGCTTGGGAACGGGAAGAGAACTTTGGTGTAATCATGTGTGCTCGACGGATATCGAGAGAGAAAAAAAAAACAACGAGAGATGTGCAGAGGTGTACCGTTATGTGCGCGATAGGGATGCGTCTTGAGGGACGGTCGGGCCAAGACGCGAGTGATGCGCTTTGTACGTGTTGGACGTTTGACTATATTGTTATATACGGTGGGTTAAACCCCGCGGAAAGGACTTACATGTACAATGGTGGACATGAATGCCTCCCCTGCAAATACGGCATCGCCTGTGCAGGATGGGAGGGCATTGATGTCTTCCAGTGTACAGCAAATGGTATTAACACATTGGTCGTTTCCGCTGAGCCTACCGCCAAATTTTTTATAACGTTAATGCAACCTTGAAGGAGCGCGAACAGGGATGAGATTGTTACAGTAGCAGGATAATATTGTATGGTTTTAATCTACAAGAGATATTCCAAAACCTATGCCTTGTATAATATTGTCATAACAATATTTCGTCAGTTTCCAAGGACTTTCTTTTGGATCTGTGTTGCAGGATTCTCGAGATTGAATTGTTATTTCAGATATGTTTTATTGACGATAACGTTTCCTTTCTTAAGGCATTATTTTTTAATCAAGGTGGGCTATGGATCACGAGAAACTAACATCGTGAAAATCAATAGCTTGCTCCTGCTTGATCTTAATACTTTGAATTGGAAACAAGTCACTTTCGCAATGATGCTTCTTGGTACTCATTGAAGTAAGCGGGTGAATATAATGAAAGGTGTCGGTCATTCGAGCACTAATTATCTCTTCAGGGTCTCCATCGTCTAAATTGCTCCTTCTAGGTTGAATTCAGTTCCGTGGTATCAACTTTATTTGGAGGGGGAGGTACGGACTGAATGAGAGAGAGAACGAGAGGGGATGAGAAAGAATGAGAACAAAAAGATAAAGATAGATAAAGAGAAAGAGAAAGGGAGAAGTAGAGGGGCACAAGAAAGAGAGAAGTCAGCGAGTCTATCCACGTGGGAGAATTAGCGAGTACGCGAGAGTTTCCACCGGAACGAGTATTGTTATAACTCGCGAAGGAACATTCCGAAGCTCTAAGACGCGGTCGGTCAGACGGCTGATAAATTAAGTAAAATGTCCTCGTAAAAGGTGCGGTAAGTCTTTTATGTGCCAGAGCGATTAAGCTCCTCAGAAGATTGCCTATTTCTTCCCTGTTCGCCGCCCTTTAGAGCCTACTTGCAACGTTTAATTAAATGAAAGAGATGAACGGTTCGTTTCGACATACCTGAAGATACTTAGAATTCGCTGATTACTATTCCTTCGACGTAGATGAGAGAATTCAGATAGAGGTGAATAACGATTGATAATGATTGAATAAGGGAATTGACCCTATTAAATGCTCTCGAGTTGCAGAAGTTAAAAAAGCGTTAAAGGAAACGAACGATAATTCACGACCTCGCTCCTATAGGTCGACGTTCCGCTTTATTCGTTTTACTTATAACTTCGCGTTTCCGTATTATCCATTACCGTCATAATCCGGAATTTATGGATCGAAGCGCCATTTTCTTAGCGATACGATAGTTCAATCCTTGAGCCGTTCGATCTTAAAAGCTGATCGATGAGACGTTCGACAAAAAAAGATGTGTCCGTTCATCGTTTAGGATTTCCGAAACGGACATATCGTGGGACATATCGAAAGAAACCGATTAGATGTGAATCAACAAGGAATCGAATAACGATCGACCGAATGCGTCGGTCCTTTGGGCTTCCGACATCGGGTAAATTCCCGAATCTTTTGGGGACTGTCAAAATACCGCGATTCCTGTGCACCTGTCCGTTCGGCTCAAAAGACGCAATTCGGAACAATCTTCGAAGAAACTGGAAGTCGAATGTTGCATTCAACTTGTCACCCTAGTCGAGGAGTTCTCGATTTACTTGGCGCGATGGTCGGACTATTTCGCGAATTTTATCGACTGGAAGCCAGGATTAACCGCGAGGACCACGAACAGTGTTTTATATCGGATAGAGTGAAAATCGACGTTCCTTTTCGAGGAATCGAGGCGAGAGAAATGAGACGTAGCCAAGACCGAAATACGCCGAAAGAAACGCGATCACGCCGTTTTTAGGAAAGATATCGCATTTTATTGACCGAGCTTAGTCAGGGTTTGCAATCGAGCGATTGTCAGAGACGTGTGTTAAACAGTTAAAAGATGCGTATCCGCCCGCGAAGTGTACGACGCATACGTCAGACCGCGAGCGGCCTAAACCTAGCGCTTTGTGGCCGAATATCGACGCGTCGACGCATTTTAATATTTATATTTATATATGTATATATGTATACGCGTACGCATTCGAGATACTCGAGCATCTGCGAGTTTCCGCGCGTTACAAACTATGGGTAATCATTACTCGGTAGCGTTCTCCCTATCGAAAAGAGAATCGAATAGAGTACCTATCGGTAGTGGTGGAATTAGTCGAGCGCGCAGTAGAAAATGGCGCGAGGTAGGTTAAAAAATGCCTCCCCGGTATCGCCCGCGATTATACCCTTTCTTCTGTTTGCTTTCGTGTATGTATATAACATTACGATAACGTGTCTTAAAATTTATTTGCATCTCTCTTCATTTAATGTGTATATATATATGTGTGTATATATGACATATATATATACACATATATATATCGTTCTATGTCATATAATATGTATATCATTAAACCGATATCGTTAACTAAATAGTTACTAATTTAACAACAAGCTAACAGCTCTCGTCTCGTTAAGAGTTAAACGTTTCTCGATCGCTTAGCGGATTCCTCATCGTCACGTGACCGGCGAGTCACGTGGTCCATGTCACCTGACCGGCGTCACGTGGTCCATGTCACCTGACCGGCGTCGCTCTAGGTGGCCAAGGGGCCGTGTTTCGTTTCTACCTCTAGTCTCTATTCCGTTAAATCGTAGGTCCGACGGTCATTCACGCGAGACATTTCGGAAGTCAATGTTGTTTGTCGAAGGAACGGTCCGTTCGTTCCGTTCGCGATCGGCTCGATTGCCTTCGCGGTCACGGTTCCCGAGGGACGATGGATCGTGATCGGGACGGTCCTCGGAAGAAGGGCCGGAGGGAAAGACATAAATCGAGGGGAAAGGATGGAGCGAGATCGGTAAGTTCCGCGCGCGATACCCTATGAAAGACGGATACAGTGAATGAAAAATTTACTTTCTAGGCTGGATTCATTGCTTATGGTAATTTACACGGTTCTCGCTAGAGAAATTCTTTGGTCCTAGAAAAATTCCCTTTGAAAGAATCATCAGCGTCGCAACCCAAACGACAAGTTGATATTAAATTTAAATTATTTCGCGAAAGGACTTTATATGTACAAAACTGATTTCGCGTATCGAGTATGTTAATGAAAGTTACGTTACATTTTGGATAGAATGTTGAATTAAACTCGAACCTAGTACTCGATATACAAAATTACTAATGTCGAATAAACATTGTTCGAAGTTGACACGAGAAACAGATACCCCGATAATATTACTAATTCTAGCCTCGTTACAATAATATATTATTAATTCCTTCGAGCTCTTCGACTCTTTCAAGTGGATCGACATTTCTTTCTAATCTTATTTTGATGGCAGTAGCTGGGAAAGATCTATCCGACACAACAGCGTCTTATTCTAGAAAGTGATTTTTTCGCTCAGTGCAGAAATACGGAAACGGAAAAGAAGAGAGATAGACGGACATGACCCCGGTTCCCATCTACGAATCCTTTTATCCTTCTCCGTTCGTTCGTACAGACATCGTAACAATGGCAGTAACGAGTCGACCAATATAGCGATATACTGAAACGATCGTCCGCACGTCTAAAATTAAGCGTTAACGATAAAAGATTACCCCCGGTTGGACACCGCCTCGATGTGACCAACACTTCTTAGCGCGCAAGATGGCCGATTCGACAATTACGCGGATAACCAGGGAAGAAACCCATACCGCCTGTTATGTCGCGTTACATCTCGAAATTCCCCCTGAGAGATAAAAGTCAACGTTTCGAAGACACCGAATGCCGAGAAACGAGATTTCGTAAATTAGTCAACTTCTCTTACGACGGGACAACGCGTCGGAGTCCGGCAGGACGAATCGCGAAATCGCGGTGGAAGCGACGAGTCCCCTTGGGCCATACATATCTAGACTTCACATTGAACCTCCCACACCGAGACTTTTGGTAAGCAGAATGGCTTTAACCACGTGGATGAGTTATCGGCCACGTGGTACATTTATTTACCCCTTCCACCGCAAGGCGGTCTACATATATACATGGTCTAAAATATGATCGGGTCTAATGTTTACGTGTACCTATCGCACCCTAGTTCGTGTCGTCGGCTCGCGTGGTATTCGAGTTTACCCCTTTCACTGATCTGCGAGGTTTAGATATCCATGGTCCGAGGGGGTTCCCCCATAGGACGGTCCCCTTGTCGAGGGTACAGCGTCTTCTGGGGGGCTCGCGAGGCGTTCGATTAAGTACGTAGGTGGTCGGTCATCGGCGGAGTCCAATCGCGGGGGTGACGCTCCACGGGCGGGAGCACGCGGGGGTAAGTCCCGAGCCACAGGTCGTTGGACTTAAAGGGCTAAGTAACTTAAGATACGGGGGGTCGAGGGTTAAGGACGAGGGGAGAGGGTAACGCGTCCCTTCATTAAGTTAGAGATTTAAATTAAATGTGAAAACGTAAAAACAACTTACATCCGAGGTCAAACACAAAGGAGTCCTCTTGCGTTCCGTGAGTCTCGAGGTGGTTAAAATAGGTAGGGGCCGGGGAAAACGGGGCCCGGAGGGTCGAGGAGGACCCGCGCGTCCCCTCGGCCTCCCGGGGCATCTTCGTTCCCCCGGGCGTCCCCTTGGACGAGACTACGTCGTCCAGGGTGTCCTCGCAGTGCTCGCGACTGCCGCGCTCGGTTTATTCGTTCTTCGGCTCCTGGGTCGAGACGGGCCGAGAGCACGCGAGGCTAAGTACGAGGTCGGAGGTGCGACGATGGGCCCGACCGGAACCGTGCAGTGGCGACCCTCGCGGGGCCCGGAGAGCACGAGTGGTCAAGTGTGTGGGGCGGACGCCCACCCCCTGGAGGGGCGGGGGGGGGGGGGAATCGCGCGTCGAAGAAGGCATCGGATCGGTCTTAGAAAATGTCGACTCGGACGCGGAGGAACGTACCTCCGGTAGCAACGAACCAACCGGACTTCATTTACAAACGACGATTTTGGGCTCGTTTAAGGCGAATTGCTCGCAGCCGTGGATGCTGTCTTGCAGTTTTCGCGAAGTAATTGGCCCGCGAGTCCATCGGGCACGATCTCACGATTCCTTGAGCGCAGGCTGAGCTTTTCTTGTCCAACGATCGTCAAATCGGGGATTCGTTGCTACTCGAGAGGTCTGCCTCGAATCGGAGTGCACGTCTTCGGAACACCGAAGCTACCTCCTCCGACGCGTTGTCCTTAGCAAGAGTCGCATCGACGCGAAACGGACACGCATTCACATCCAGTCCCAGACAGACAGAGAAAGGAGCAGACGGGAATCCATACAGGAGGTCAGAGGGCGATCAAGGGACGATAAGAGCAAACGGCGCAAGCAAGCAAGGTGTGCGTCTTCTCTTGGCCCGGGAACTTCTCCACTCGTGGACGGGACTCGTGTCCGGTAGACCCAGGGGCAGGGTCCGTCCTCGACGCAGCCTTTAAGATTCCTACGTTGCGTGGTAAAAATGGGCTCCGCTAGTTCCTGGGAAGGCATTCGGGTCAAAGCGGGAGAAGCAGGTCCGGTGTAAGCGCGCGTGCACGTCCGCGTACATGCGAGTGCGTCGAGTGCGTCCTGTGTTCGTGTGTATGTGCGTATCGTGGGCGCGGCCGTTCTCACTGGGTTCTCCGCGAAGGCGAAGGATCAGTTATCAAAGGTCCGAGGAGTTTCGGTGCTCGAGGGTGGACAAAAGGCCTGCCGAGAGAAATTCCGAGCGCGAAGGAGATCTCTCCTCGGGTCTTTCGTCCATTCTCCAATCGTACCCTGAGAAACCATTCCGTTAAGTCCTATCGCGAACAAATTGTCCAAGCTCCACAGTTTTCACAAATTTTACTCCACTGCCAGCGAACTTCGGCCAATGCAAGTAGAATCCGACATCATTTTGTGCAGTCGGTAGAATGCCCGGCACTCGAATAAATGCAAAACGTTGCGTCGCCCAAGACGACGTCTGGTAGAGCTCGCCAGTTTCCGTTGACTCGACCGGACGTTTTTCTCAGCGTACCAAGGACTCTCCGCACCCTTGGGCACTTATCTCCTGGCCCGGGTCGAGGGGACGACGATCCCTGCTTTCCGCGCCCTCTCCGCTCGCCCAGGTCGCAGGATCCATCGACAGGTGGACGCGACTCCGGGATTAAGCACGGTAGAAACGGATCGGGTGAGCGGACGCGCGACTGCATCCGACAGGAGACCATCGGACGCTCTCGAGGATCTCGGGAGTTCTCTCGTTGCGTCAACGAAATTATCGGCCAATAGGCTCGTGAAAGAGCGAGGTGGAAGTCGGAGTAGCGTTCGTTCATAAGGCAGTTTCATGGTCATGGAGAAGTAGAACGCGGTCGATCGACCACACCTACCGCTCCACGTAACCGCATCCCGGTCGAAGCTTGCCGCGTTTCCACCAGGACCTCTTCCGCGCACCCAAGACCCGCCGCGTCGAGGGACCACGTGGTCCCTTCCGACGAAAAAACGGGGACACTAGTTTGCTCCACTTTTCCCGCGCACCCGTTCCGCAGGCACCGATTGTATTAAGTACTCGTCGGGTAGAGGCGTCGCGGCGCTGGGGCCGGGCACGTGGACGAGCGTCGGAGAGGGCGAATCGTCGGGGGCGATCGAGCTCGACCGGGAGGGTCGCGGGTCGGTGGCCCCGGGACAGGGGTCACGGGGAAACGAGGGGGCTGACCCCCGTCCTCAGATGCTGGTCTCGTGGACCAGCTTCGGCAGTTCCGGGAGGAGCAGGTTGTTGGGTCCCGAGGGCTGCGAGGGGGTGCCCGAGTCGCCGACGTGGTTCGGACTCGTGGGATTATTGTGGTAATGGTGGTGATGGTGGTGGTGGTGGTTGTTCGCGACGGCGGATCCGGGCACGTTGAGCAGAAGCGGCGAGGCCGGGCTGTTCTGGGGATTGGCCGGTCTGGACCCTCTGGAGCTGGCCTCGTGTTCCTGGGCGGGCTCGGCGCAAGCGTTCCCGGGCTGCGACCTGTTCGCCGCTCTAACCGAGTTACTAGTCGGGTCTTCGTCAATGTACGTGAAGTCAGATAGTGGTCGGGGCCCGGTGTGGCTGCGTGAGCTGCGCATACTGTGTAAGCTGTGTAAACTATGGATGGAGCGACGCTCCTCCAGATCTTCCAGAGTCGACTTGAACGCTCTGATTACTCGAAGCTGCAAAAACAGGGAAGGGCGCACTATCAGGAAGGGCGGATAGGAGAGAAACAGAGAGAGTGATAGATAGAAAGAGAAAGAGAGAGACAGACTGACCGAGAAACGCAGTCGGAATAAGAAAGAGAGAGAGAGAGAGAGAGAGAGAGAGAGAGAAAATGAGAGTCAGAATCAGACGGAGCAAGAGGCATGGGCTATGCGACACACAAGCACGCACGCTGCTTTGTTCCTTCGCTAGTTCCTCGCTAGTATAGCGGCTTCGGGGCGCCTTAGACGCCGGCTATCGGGAGCCCGATTAGGAATGGTCCCTGGCAGTCCTGAACCCACCTGAACCCACCTGGACCGACCTGAACTCGCCGAGCGCGAGAGGACGCGGCCTCTACGAGCGCCCGATCGTCCAAATAAGGCCCTCCCTGGGCGTGCGGCAGCTTCGCCGCATGCTGCTACGCATCCTCGTGTACATCGACATGGAGATTTGTATATATATATATATAAATATATAAAAAAATATATATATACATATATAGATAATATTTAGTCATACTTATATACGTAAAAACAGCAAAAGAGATAGCGAACAGAGACCAAGTGGGGGAGAAATAGAGACAGTGATAGAGAAAGATTAAGTTTCACAGAACAGACAGACGGATAGTGGTGAAATTCGTGACTAGCGGTGACAGAGAAAAAAGGGGGAGAAATCAAGAGAGAAGGGGAGAGAAAGAACGATGTACAAGAAAGAGCGAAAGAAACAGTCAACCATGGCTCGAGTACTACCTTGAGAGTAGCACTTGGCGCGAGCGCGACACTCGATTCCGTGCCCTTAAGAAGCTACGTTAATGACCTCGGTTAATGTTTGGGGTAGGGTCGAATGCACGAAAGCTCTTGAGATCATTCACTCGTGCCCGGTACGTGCTCGGTACGTGCCAACAGAGCACATCGGTTCTTAAAAGCACACCTCAGCAGCCGAGCGAGTTGAACGGCGCACGTCGGGCCTCCGTATCGAGCCGCGAGTGCGGCCCAAGAGTCTGGGACGCACGATTTCCGCAAACGGGAAAATCACGACGTCTCCGGGCCCTTCTCCTTGGGCCCAATCGGCCCGGTCTGCATGCGATCGATAATTGGACTTTTTCTTAGAGGAATCGCGTTGTTTTAGACTCTTTCGTGCTTCCCACCCAGTTGAGGCTACGCATCAAAATTAGAATCGATCAAATCATAAACCACTCGTGCATTAAGTAGATCCAGCGAAATTAAAAACATTTCAAATTCCGTTTCATATCGTTCGATATCGCGAGATGCACTGCAAGAAAGTAATTTTTTAATTAAAAAGATTGGTTGCAATTTGATGTCCATGATATCGAATTCGGGTAGATTAATTAAATAGACAACCCCGTTAAGAACTTATTAGTCCGTTCGAACAGGTACTTTTGACATCATTCGCCTATGTCACTCGATTGTGTTTGAAGGGAAAGACAAAAAAAAAAGAAACTGATTTACTTTACTTTCAAATACGCGTATCATGCGACTTGATTAGATGACATTTTTCCGGTTGGTAGTTGGAGATACTTTTTTTCCCCGGTACCTTTGAGAATCCGATGTTAGATGTAAAATGGCCCCGAGTTAAGTGAAAGGTGTCGACGAAAAACAGCGTTACCTCTTCCAGTCGGGAAGCGACGATGCTCGCATCTTGCGAGCTTTTGTCTAGAAATTCTCGGATCTAGACGGACACCCTGTGCGTGCAATCCACCTATGCGCTACACACATCGCAGAGGTTATAAGGAACACACTGAAGCCTAAGGACATTCATTTCTAGGCGGGTCGCTGAAACTATAGGTGGAAATCTAGGCTGACAACTCCAGGCGGGGATCGAGCGCCTCGAGCATAACGACATTACGTGGACTAGGCTATGCGCGGAGGCGGGTTAGGCGCTGGTGGCTTGGAGGGGTGCAAAGATATATTTATATATAAATTATGTTGTGTAGGTACAACGAGACCGTTTTAATTACGAACGGAGAAACTATGTGTGACTAAATAGGGTATAATTAAATGGAAACGTAGGGGAAATACAATTCGATAGGGTCCCTAATGCGTGATCGTTTTATGATTCAAACACTCGATTGTAACAAAAAATATTAAGAAAGAAAAAAAAAAAGAAAAAGCAGAATATTATGTTCCTTGGGCTGTAGAATGCTGGAATGATAGAAGATTTAGACATTGGAGACTCTAGCCGAGAAATCCATTTTTTCTTGACTATGTCTTATTTTTATCATATCTGATTCGAATTGGCGGTTAAATACATGGAAATTTAGTTTCATGGGGAAATGAATCAAAGTCAATGTAAAGGGCGCCGTTTCTTAAAAAAAAGAGAAAAAAAAGAGTTTACTTTTCCCTTAAATTGCCATTCAATTTAGATTACTTATTAGCAATGTTTGGTATACATATTCGCCCACGTATGACTCCTTTGTTCGCACTTGACGCGGATACGTATTATATGACTCGATATTTACGTGTACGTCACAAGATAATTCTTGTGAAGATCGTCGATCGTCACGACTCGGGTATTATCGTGATCCTACGTAATCCGATCTTGGAGGCACCGAGACCGCGCAAATAGAGTACATTGACATCGATATTTTTTAGAGTACTCGGTGCCAATACTTGTGAGCCGTGGGTGTCTTGTGTATGGGTTATACTCGTGAAATCCGCGTGCTTTTTTGCGGCATGCCAATCCAGCAGCTACATCCAGTGTCAAAGATAACCGTGGTTAAATCCTAAATCCCTACGCTGGTTGATAGCAAGTTTTAAGCTCGATCCGCTTTGATAGTCCGTGGGGATCACATGGCAGAATTTTCAAAGTTCCACCGAAGAGTTCGCTCGAACTCCGAAATATACCTCACCCACCTTAGAAATTACTGTGTACATTAATTTAATTAATAAACACTTATGGGAAAAATAGTCACACCTAGAAACAGAATTAACAAAGCTGCACTCAATTCCCCTGAACTTACAGTTAATTTAAATTGCCAATTAATCAAATGAAGCTTGCTCGCCGCAAACTGACTTTAGTTGACTGAGCTGCCGTGGGCTTAAGGTGAAGTGAAACCGCTTTCAAATCAGTCGATTCGAATCCAACACTTTTTTTTAAGGGTATTAGACCAAACTGTCCACAACTTTGACACATCACTCCTGATCATCTAAGAGTTGTCCTGACACATTCAACATTTGGATTTTTTTTTTATTTTTTAACTTAGTCCAGATCAGAACCAAAATGGCGTCGAGCTCTGATATTTCGATCAATATACAATTATCGAAGGCTCTCATATGAGAAACGAAAGGGTCAGGACAATTTAACGAGAATTTAGAACACTCTGGTAATCGATAAACTAACATTTGAACGGGATAAAGGCAAAAAAGTGTTGTATGCGCTTCTATGCTAAAATGATGGGAATACGAGGCCTCGGAGAGAAAATTTAATTGACCTGGAAGTCACAGATGGCGCAGGGGGTTTCTCTGCAGTCAATGAGGGCCCCAGAAAGCATGAATCAAGCGGATTTCTCGAGTTTTACTACGATTTCTTTATAATTATTGTACGAAAACGACAGGTGGAGTACGCCATTTGGTACAATGCCCAATATAATTCGATACAGCTGTCAATATAAAAACAAATGTGGGCAACGTAGGCATTTAGAAAAATCTTCTTTATCGACGTTGATCAAGTTCCTCGACGTGTTTCACTTCACCTTAATTGTTCCATCTGAATTTCATTTCTCTGTATATCTCATCAGAGGTAGCGATTATTCTGGATAAAAAAAGGCAGCTTCTTCTTTCACTCACAGTAACAATTCCGAATTTTGAACCGACGTTCCAAATGGATTTATCGACAATTCATTATTCGATACTCTTCAATGGAAATCTTAAAGTTTAGCCACGTGGGGATCTCGCGTCCATGACTACGAGCTGTAAGGTAAATCGGAACCTGAGTCCACTTTGGGATGCAAGGTGTATCTTCGATATGTACTATTCAATTCGGCGGATACGATGATCTCGGTGGGAAAAAATAGACTCGTGCAGTCAATTTAGCTACTAAAGCTCGAGTTCCGTGCTTTAAAATTCTTGTACACAGAGTTAGACAGTGAGATAACAAAACGAAGTCAAACGATAAGTATCCTGTTTTCCCCCGTCTGTAGCTTTATCGGTCCCATACCCAAAAAACATATTTCTCAACTAAAAAGAAATGGGCTGCGAATACAACGGACCGTAAAAATTCAAAGGACACTTTCATGGAATCGAAATTAACTGTTGGATCGCGAGGGAATTTTTGCCGAAGTCGGAACAATTTCCTCGATCCCAATAAACCCTCTTCGGTCTGGGCCGATCATCCTTGGAACAAGTACGATTTTTTTAATTCGGATAAGATGTACCGTGTAGAAAAAAAAAGTTTCGTTTGGGCATTCGTTTTTCATCCGAGCTGCTAAACACAACCAACTGTTCAGAAATCACGTTTCTTCTCAGGTAGAGGTGCGGTTTAAAAAAAATCTCATTTCCACATCGACAAGATCGTCGATCTCCTTTAACATATCGGGCACACCGATAATAAACGAACGTACAACACAGCGGTTAAATAATCGTGCTCACTGCACTGCGACACTCTCAACAAAGTAAAAATAGAAGAAACCGTGTTAAAGAAGTCGATAACAGCGAGTGTATCGATGCAAGACGCAAGAAATGCACGCACACACTTTCAAGGAAAAAGGGCCGCGAGGTGTATCAGGAAACGGGAGAGAAAGACGCGAAGAGAAGAGAGAAGAGGAGTCGACGTCCTTCGAGTAGTGCCGGGAAACCATGACAGAAATTAGGGAATATTGGACTTAATCGGATGAAAAATTAACAGACAATCGGGGCCTCGTTAACCCTTTCGTTACCTTAGACGAGATATCTCGCGACCCAATACTGGCCGATTAACGCTTTTGACGAGATATCTCGCGACCCGGTAGTAGCCGATCAAC